AAAATATTATAACTGACTTTCAAAGTGACTAGGAAGAAACTAAATATAGTGACCATACATCTTGGGAATTTGAAAGTTAATGTAAGATCATAATTTTGAATTTTAAGTATTATATATTAAGTTTTTTATAGTAATATGCAATAATTCTTAGACATACATAATGAAGTAACAAATCTATGCATTGGTTATACCCTTATATCTTGGAAAAATATAGATAAAATTATGGAGTTTTGTAGAAAACAGCAAGGATTTGAAATCATTAAGAAAAGGTTAGAATAATATAGAGATAATATTAGACTTTGTACATATAGTTGTAAATTTGGTAGCCGCTATCAACCAAAAAAACAGGTTGATGTTAACAAATATAGAGATTATAAGTCAAAGCGTCAAGAATGTAAATGACACGTTAATATTAATTGCCCGAAAAATACTTTTTGTATAACAATTACAATCTTCATTAATATACACAATCATGAATTAAGTTCTAATACTTTAATCTATATTCTGATGTATTAAAAAATTTCCGAAGGTGCCTTTAATGAAATTTGATTTCTTGCAAGACATGGAAACCTATTCATTAGTACTCAAAAAAGACTATTAAAGGCTAAGTTTTCAAATGAATCTATCCTTAAGTATGATTTTGCAAATACTATACAAAAATTCAAGATTAAAGTAGAAGAAAAAACAGATGTATTCTGTTGCTTACAAAAAAAATTAAATGATTTTGAATGAGTGGTTGAGTTTGAACTTGACACTAAAAATAGGCTTGCTTGTCTTTTTTGGATATTGCCAGTACAAATTGCCTTTTAGGTAAAATATCATGATGTAGTTTTAAATAATAATACTGCCAAAACCAACCACTATCAAATGCCACTTTCACTTTTTCTTGTAGTGGACAACAATACTAAATTGTATTTTGTCACATAAGCTTTAATTTCAAATGAAACAATAGAGTCCTATTAATGGATTCTAAATTGTATAAAAAGTGCAACTTTAGCTGAGCTATTAATATTAGTCACAGACGCAAACTTCACAGCAGATGCAGCAATTGGACAAGTATATGAGACAACACACCAAATTCACTATATCTTTTACATAAGTGAAAACCTACCAAAAAATTTTAAATCTAAACTTTGAGATCAGTATAATGATTTTGTTAGTGATTTTTTCTGATGCCGCAACAGCTTGTGTAAAAAATCTGTTCTATGAAAGATGGGCACAGCTAATTAAAAAATATACAAGTGCTAAAAACTATTTAAAAAGAGCTTTTTATCCTAGTAAATGAGCATGAGCCTGTGTATTCATTTCAAAAATATTTATGGTGGAAGTTCAAACTACTTCTCATATTGAAAGTATAAACAATATTATCAAGTGTGTTCTATTATCAAATAGTACCTTATGTAATCTCACTAATATAATAGAAGAAAAACTTAAAGATGAAGCGCAATGGAATCGCTTTTTCGAATATCGTACTATGTCATCCTGCATGAGAATTATATTAGTAGAGTATGATATCTTTCCAGAAATTGATAATCTAATGTCTAAATACCTTACTTCTCATATATTGTCTGCAGAATATATGAAAATGGCACAATGCCTTTATTTTATTGCTAATAAAATGCAATTAGATGTTGTTAAAATATTCAATGAGATAAATAAATACAGAAATATATTGTATGTGAATATTTAAATGATTTAAAGCATAGTTAACATAATATCTATTTTATTATACTTAGGATCTTGACTTGAATTTAATGGATGGGTTCATTGAAGATTTTTATGATGCCAAAAAAGTTTTACTAAAATCAATGATCGCTGAAGTGGGTAAAAGTAATATTTAGAAAGTGTAGAAAATTATAGATATACAATCTAAAAATAGCAAATACATATATTTCGTAGTGGTAGTTAATTCTATCTCCTACTTTTGTTCATGTATATCTAATATATCTCAAGATATTATTTGCTACCATTATTTTCAGGTAATGATATATTCAAGAGTTGCAGAATTTCATATTCAAATGATACTATTACGATAGTTTACCGATGAATGAAAAGAAAATGATCTTACTATGAAAACTTTATATTTTACGAACCTGGAGTCGACTAAAAATTAATTTAATTTGGAATTGGTATTAGTATCAAACACTTAAACTATATCTAAAACAGTTAGTTCAATTCTATACTATGGGTCAACTCTCACTGACAATCTCTCGTACTGAAATTTTTGGGGAAGAATCCAACTCGAAAAACAAGAAACCTGATATACAATATACCTGGTGAAATGAATAAAACCATAAGCCAGCACCTATCGTTTAGAGGTAGTTCTTATACGCTACCTGCCGATAGGC